CCCAAACACCCCAAAGCCTGAATCCTAAGCCTACAACACCCCAACCCTCGGGCCGAAAATATTGAATTTCAACCCCGGAACCCGTTTTCGAGTGTAGAGTTTCGGGTTTAGGGCTTGGGGTTCAGGGTTTCGAGCTTCGGGCTTAAAGCCTGAACCCTGAATTATTGGGGTGAGGGGTGTAAGGGCAGCTTTCAGCAATGAAGACTCTAGAAGCCCCATGAAACCAAGTCGGTTTAGGGTTTAGGGTTTAGCGTTTAGGGGGAGGCAACCCAAGAACACGTCTGCCTTTGCAGCCCATGCTTTGAGGCTCTTGAAGAAAGTTTGAGGTTTCAGCGTTTAGGGTTTCAGGGTTTAGGGGGCTTAGGTACACCCCTAGCAAAAAAAAACTGCTCCAAGGGGAGATCGCAACATCCGACAGCCTTCACCCTAAACCTTGAAGCAAACAGGGTTTAGGGTCTGGGGTTTGGGGTTTAGGGCTTCGCGTTTAAGGGTCTAGGGTTTAGGGTTTAGGGCTTAGGGTTTAAGGGTCTCGGGTTTAGTGTGTACGGGTCTCGGGTTTAGGGTTGAGGGTTTAAGGGACTGGAGTGTTGAGGCTTTAGTAGGTCTGGGGAAGCCTCGAACCCCGGGATACTGTAGGGGCCTGAATCATTAGACTTGGGGTTTTGCTGCATATGATACTTTTTTCATGAGAAGGAACCCTCCTAAACAGTATGGGTAGTTATCGAAGCCCTTTTTAATCCCTAAACTCTCAACCCTCAACCCTGAACCCTAAACCCTAATAGTATTGGTATCTAGTTAAGCCCGATGTTTCTCGAATCTTGGGAAACCCGACGGGCGATGTTGCAGGCATTTCCCTGCGGGCTGAACTCGGCGATTGAGCCTCGGTTGGGAGTTTAGGGGTCTAGGGTTTAGGTTTTAGGGTTTAGGGTGGGCGCTGATTTTGTTTCGCAGTTGCTTGATGATATGCTTCATGAGTTTGGGTAAACCCTAAGCCCTAAACCCTAAACCCTAAACCCTAAGTGCGGGTTAACTTGAGGCTTCGGGGTTTCGGGGTTTGGGGCTTTAGGGCTTTGTGCTTGGAGGCGACAGGTCCCTCGAGTGTCATGTAGGGGCCTTAATACTTAATACTTAGAATAGGGCCTTGGGGTAGAGTATACTATTACGATCTTTACTATTATTACTATCGTTATTGTTATTGTTAATCTTCTGATTATTATTATTACTCCTATTTTTACTATTATTAGGAACCCTAAGAATAATATTGGCCATTATTTAGGCTTCTATATTCCCTTTAGGCTGGGATTCAGGGCTTCAGGGCTTCGGAGGTGCAGTGACGGGAATGATGCGTTCAGAGTTCAGGGATGTGCCTCCCTGGGGCTTAGTTTGGTTTAGGGTTTAGGGTTTAGGGTTTAGGGCTTCGGGTTTAGGGCTTAGGGTTTACGGTTTAGGGTTTAGGGTTCAGGCGGAGCCCGTATCTGATCTCCTAACCGCTCCCTGTGGTTGCTGCCATGCAGGTTAGAGAGTAGCCAGGCCACCACCACCCGACATACCAATGAGCTTGAGGAGCCCGGCCCCTTGATAACACCAGATCCTGAAGAGGGACTGTGTCCATGATCACAGCGATGAAAGTGAAGGTGAAGATGGAGCTGAAGATGCAGTGAAGCTGAAGGTGAGGGTGGAGAAGGTCGGCATCGTCGCAGTAATAATAGTATTAGCAGTAGTAGCAGTCCTAGCTTCACTGATGTAGCAACCAGAGGGCTGTGTCACCCTCTACCGACGTCCCAGACCCCCGAAGTCGTAACAAAAATATCCCAAAACCACAGACTCGCCTTCCACACTAAGTGACCTGAAACACCTTAAAACCCAGAAGTCCTGAAAGCTACCGCAACCCTGAACCCAACAACTCCTAAAAGGTCCTACCCGACAACTACTCAAAACCCAAACTTTCTGGAAGCCCAAAGTCCTCTGCCCTTGCGAGTCTTCCACGACTGCGGTTTAGGGTTTAGGGTTTAGGGTTTAGGGTTTAGGGTTTAGGGTTTAGGCCGGGTCACCGATGCCGCCGCGCTCCCCCCGCAGAGCTTCTGCCAGCTTCTCGTCGCCTGTCGGGCATCTGGGATCTAGGGGTTTAGGGGGTTAGAGTTTAGGATCTAGGCTTTAGGGTTTAGGGGATCTCGGGTTTAGAGTGCAGGGTTTAGGGGATCTGGGATCTAGGCTTTAGGGGTTTAGGGCTTCGGGTTTAGGGTTTAGGGTTTTGGGGTTAGGTTTCGGGCTTAGGGGATCTAGGGCTTACTGGATCTAGGGTTTAGGGTTTAGGGGTTTAGGGCTTCGGGTTTAGGGGATCTGGGATCTAGAGTTTACGAGTTTTGGGTTTCGGGCTTAGGGGATCTAGGGTTTAGGGGTTTAGGGGATCGGGCTTAGGGGATCTAGGGCTTAGGGGGTTTGGGTTTCGGGCTTAGGGGATCTAGGATCTAGGGTTTAGGGGTGTTGGGTTTCGG